GCTGGGACCAGGACTCAACCAGGACCTGCAATGTACACTGGAACCAGGACTAAACCAGATTAAACCGAGACCTATAATGTGCCCCAGGCAGTTTGCAGCCAAGTAAGGAGCGCCAGGAATGAGAATCAGCTCTTTCAAATCTGAGACTGGTTTTTGACCGCAAGAAAAGTGGTGCACTCTCCAGATGATGTAGAGTCCCTGCCTCAAGTGGAGGAGTTCAAGTATCTCGGGGTCTTGTTCACGAGTGAGGGAAGGATGGAGCATGAGATTGACAAGCGGATCTGTGCAGCGTCGGCAGTGATGTGGTCACTGTATCGCACTGTTGTGGTGAAGAGGGAGCTGAGTCCAAAGACAAAGACCTCGATTTACCATCAGTCTATGTTCCTATCTTCACCTATGGCCATGAACTTTGAGTAATGACTGAAAGGAAAAGATCGCGGGTACAATCTGCCTCTGTGACCTGGCCCTGGAAAATGTGGAAGGAAATGTGTGGATGTTTTCCACAAACAAAATCTGTCTGTTTGCCCACTGCTACTGACAGGTTACCTCTATTATGTTGAAGAATGGGTCAAATACAGAGAACAAATTTAGGTTCTCATTCACAATAACCTTGAATTCAGTGTAACACAATTAAAATAAACCATAAATAGTGCTATTATAACACAACATTTGCACTAAAAACAACAACATATGTCAACATAAACTACAAGCACTTTAAGTTTTAGTAGTGTTTTATATTGTCATGGTTTCTTAGACACGTAACAGGATTGTCTATTTAAATTATGACCCACAAAAGCTGTAAAACCTGTGTGTACCATATTTAACTGTATAAAAGCTTTTCTGACAGTAGGGATGTGATTAAGGGGGACTTCTGGGGCACTTAATGGACCAAGACAAGACTGGGGTCAACATTGCCTCTTACCTCATGAGAAATCACTCCTGAAGTTGAACCAACCTGCAGTCATCGCAAATATTATAGAAATTAATCAGACACTAGAGCTAAGAGGATTAAAGAACTAATATTGAGCAAAATGGACTCTTGTGAGCTTTAAGTCATGTTATAATGTTGTTACCTCCTCAAAAACAGACCTGGAGTTGGAGGCGTTTTGTTTCATTTACACGTCTGAGTAATCCTTTATTATTGGTTTGTCTACATCTCCAAGCTCAAAATGTTCCGTTCCACCTTGTGATGTCATGAAGCGGGAGTTTTCAAGTTAACTGCTAGACTTCATTCCAAATTATTATGCAAATTATATTTTTCTCTCATTTTGTTTCGGCTTGTGAGCATTGTTTAAGGGTGGTCGAATAGAAGGTTTATGCAGAACTCCAAGCCTCTGAAGGATCCTCGCGGGAATCCAGAGGCACCAGCAGCTTCAAATACCTGTTTTCTGCTTTGCAGTGGCATTTTAGTAACTGCTCTCTTAATCTGATGTAGTTGTCTGGCAGAAACCTTCCTCATTGTGCCTTTATCTGCACGAATCCATGTGAGCTCTAAATCAGCTACAAATCTCTTAATAGTATGATGATCACACTTAAGTTTTCATGAAATATCTAAGGTTTTCATATCTGTCCAAAGTATTCAACTATTTCACACTTTTTGGCACTAGAGAGAGATCCTTTTTCTTTCCCGAAATTGCTTGAAAATGGTGGTCTGCTTAATAATGTGGAATATCCTTCTTAAGTAGTTTTTCCTTTAATTTGACTTATCTGGCCAACTAACTGGCAAAAGTGTCTGAGATTGATTTCACTGACCCAAAGAGCCTTGAGACACAGTACCATCCATGAATTTCCCTGGAAAACCAAAAATATAACCTTTATGACACACTTTGCATAATAATTTGGAACGCGATATATATCTTTTACCTTTTCTTCAGAAGAGACGGGCGATTCCAGGGTTGAAATCATCCAAATGATTCTAGTGAAGGTGTATGGAATTTAAAAACATAAAGGAGCACTTCCTATATTACCACATGACATCACAAGTTGGAATGGAGTGTTTCCTATTTGAGAGACAAACTGTGCCTAAATGTGCAGGATTTGTGTGTTAAACGTGTGAATGAAACAAACCACAACTTCGGGTATGTTTGTGAGGAAACAACATTATTACATAGATCAGACAATAGTATACGATGATTCCTTTAAGTGTTTTCATTTTTATTTCCTTGTATGACTTTCTTTGTTATGAACTAAATTGTACATAAATAGAACAGAATAGAAATAAACACACACACATCCAGCAGTGTGCACAAACACTGAGGGTAAGGCGGGTTAATTGTCTTGCCCAACACACAACAAAATGTGCCTGTGGGATTGAACTGCCAACGTGAATCTACCTAACCTACAGTATGTCTTTTATTTGGTTACAGGGTTTATGCCAACATATGTCACACATCATGAAAGAGAATTGCACTGTGGTTGTGTGTGCATGGATGGGTCTCCTCTGGGTTCTATTCAGATTTATTAAAGGGGACAGGTTATGGTGCATGGTCACAAGTTTATAATGCCGTACAAAGACAAAAGAGCTTAACTCGCCAGAGTGTGAAACTGAGAAAAATGAATTCAAAGTTTCTGTTTTGTCCAGGTTGAGCTCCCAAAATTTGACAACTAGTTTCTATAATGAAGAAATATTTGTATGTGAAAAATATTGAGCTCAGAATTGACCATCAATCCTTATTTGTCAGTTCCTGTTCTCTGCCTTTGTATCATGAGCCAAAAATAAGGAGTCGTGCAAAGACAAAAGGCAGTAACAGACATGATCATTATTTGCTTGATTTTTCCCAAACTTCCATCCATTATAAAAACACCTCACCAAGGTCGAGTCATCATGGGGTTTGTTTGAAATGATATAGAAGAGCTTTGGATTTCCCGTTTAGTGCTGATCAGGATCTTGCAGCGACACTTCCACAGTTAAACAGTTTGACACACAAGTGACTTTGCAGTATAGTATGTACAGTATGAATAAACACACTAAATACTTTCGCATTAAAGATGATTGAAGTATAATTGAATACAAAGGTATATTTATTGAATGTGTTAAGACCCTGTTAAGACCCAGGCAATATATTTATGAACTAAATCACAAACAAAACATACACTGTTACTGCCTTTTGTCTTTGCACAACTCATTTTTGGCTCATGATACAAAGGCAGAGAACAGGAACTGCCAAATAAGGGTCAAAGGTAAATTTTGAGCTCAATATTTTTCATGATTTTTATTCACATGATAAAGGAGGCCTCAAATACAAACAAAATGACATTAACTCATTTTTGACTCAACATGATGTTACGGTGTTCTGCCTTTGTAGTATAGTCACTCAACTCACACACACATTCATACACCAGTGTATGCCGACTTCTTCTTCTTGGAATTCTGTCTTTGTTTAATAAGGTTTGGCACTAGAAGTACTTTTCACTTCAGCCTAATACATTTCGGTCATGATCTATGGGGTTGTAGTCTATGTTTTGTTTTGTTTTGTTTTGTAGTGCTGCAAAATGACTGAATAAATTACTACTACTACTACTACTACTACTACTACTACTACTACTACACTGGGGGTAAGTGTATTGCCCAAGGACACATTGATCTATGGGAGCTGGAATTGTACCACCAACTGAGCTTCTGTTGCTCATGTATTCAACTGTTATGTAAATGATCGTTTCAATCGTGTATGGTCCTGCAATCAAGGGTTCATTGAAAATTTCATTTTTCACCCACCCCCCTATCTCTGCCCACTGCTCTGTATTTATTTGCAATTGTTTAATTAATTCAGACTGCGATACATGCAACAATAACCACATGCCACATTGCCGACAACTATAAAAACCTGTAAGAGCCTTTTTGGATTAAAGGGCTCATATTACACTTTTCTGAACTACTAGTATGTTAGAAAGTTGTTTTCTCATCAAAAACATATGTACAACTGTGTTTTGTTTCATTCACACATGTTTAACACACAAACCCTGCATATTATTTAGGCTGAGTTCTTCTCTCAAACAGAAAACATGTGGTAATGCAGGAAGTCCTCCATGCTGCCCAGGAATTGCCAGTCTCTCCCGAAGTAAAGATAAAAGGTAGTTGTTAACTTAAAATCGATCCCTGCAGGACCCGATGCAAAATAGTAGCCAGGCTGGAGCCACCTAGTGCCTCCTCTCAATTTAATTTCTCTCTAGATCAGGGATCGGAATACACTAGACTACCGTCAAGCAAATGAATCCTAATGCTGTGAGGTCAGACAGTTTCCATCCACATTTTGAAAACGCGTTGCGGGCTGAGGCGGGTGCAAGAGTACACAATGCGGGAGAGGGTGGGAGGATGACAAACTGCAGTTCCGCAAACTAAATATGAGTGTAAGTAAGTAAAATATACAAATGATTCTTGTTTGCCTATCATACATCATTTGTGCTGGATATTTTATTTGGTATTAATAAAAATATTTTAAGCAGCCTAAATTTTAGACAATTCCTTTCCACTTCTCCATGTTTGATAGCGCTTAAGAAAGCGAACGTCTCATCTTGCGGGACTTTTGGGTGGGACATAATATCGCAGATGCAGGTGGGAGGGGGAATGAAAATTACAATTCTTTGCGGGTGCGGGCAGGAGCAGGTCTGCACAATGTGGGTGCAGGTGGGATTGAAAATTCTGTCCCACGCACACCTCTAGCTTGAAAACTGCCGCTTTACGACATCACAAGGTGGAACAGAGGATTTTGAGTTTTGGAAATGTAGACAGTAATAATTACAGGGTTACTAAGACATTTGTGAATGAAACAAAACACAACTCCTGATATAAGTCCAGATCTGTTTTTGATGAGGTAACAACATTCTAACATGGCTTAAAGCTCATGAGATCAAATTTTGGCATAATGTAGGATTTTTAAATTTCAAGTTTTATCATGATCCAAATGCGTGTATGTCTTTTTTAACTGTACACTGCCTTACCACTCATCTTACACATAAATAACACGTGGGTTTGGTCCTGACCTGTGTCTTCCTGTCCACAGAGCCTGGCCTCCTGGGAGTCGGAGAACAAGATCTACTGCAGACAGACTCTGGTGGAGGGAGACGGACCCAAAACCTTCTGGAGCCGTGAGCTCAACGGAGACGAGCTGACGCTGGTGAGAGAGGGACCACCAAAAGGAAGGAGGAGGGGGGAGGGGGGATTTATTCTAATGCACAGAAAAGAGGGTTCAGATGATTTATGGCATAATTCACAGGGGTGTCCAAGCTTCTTTCATCGAGGATCACATACTGAAAGATATTTGTATTGGATTCAGAGGTCCAGGGGGTCACTATAGTTGGGTGCATTTCACACAGCTTTGATTAATCCACCATAGCTTAGATAAATCTGGGCACAATAACTTTAAAACTGAATCACAATGCAATTTCACGTTATTGAGATTACAGGAGTAGAATAATTTACATCTGCAGTAAAAAGTGCCTATAATCATTTGGGCCAATACTGTAGGAGGTTTAGCCTGATTCGTCAGCCGGTTTAACTTCATGGAAATCGTCTGACCTTGCAGCATTAGGATTCATTCGCTTGACGGTATGCGGGTACTTTTGAAATTTAACCAATCGCTGCTATTTGGTAGTCACGTATGTAATGCACCGTTAACGGGGCTAACTGGTATATTAAGCTTTTCCCGAATCCCGTAGGAAGAAGGGCAATAACGTCTTTCCTCTTAATAAAATTCACCAAACATTCTCTTTGTTCTGGCTTTAAATCCTCGATCTCGGGAATCGCTGCCAACCCAGAATGTACAGCTCTTTGCTGATTGGCTGGTGCCCGAACTCACACTTCTGGGGTTCTTGCAATCCGGAGGCACTAGGTGGCACCAACCTAGCTACAGGAGGGCTGAGGGCCAACAAAAATTTGTGTAAGGGCCGCATTTAGATCCCAAGCCGTAGTTTGGACACCCCTCATTTACGACAATCAAGCAGAAATGTTTTAAATGGCCCATATTATGCTGTTTTCTGATCTATTATAATGCTGTTTCCTCATCACAAACACACCTGGAGTTGTGTTTTGCTTCACTCACACATTTACACACAAACCCTGCATCTTCAGATTTTCTTCTTCTCTCAAACAGAACATTATGTTCCGCCTTTGATGTCATGTGGTGATACAGAAAGTGCTCCACTGTGTTTTTAAACTCCATACACCTTCACTAGAATCATTTGGATAATATTTCAGCCCTGGTTTCTGACTGGGCAACAGGTGTGTTGGAGGAGAGGCACTAGTAAATGATTTCAAGAAGACTATCGCACACTGTCTCACTCTTCGTTTTCTTTTATATATATGTTTCGGCCCCTCTGACTTTCCTCGGGTTTGAGAACAGCCCCTTCTGTTCCCCTTGTACACGGTGAGGGACTGCCCCCTTGAGAGTAGCCGTCCAATCACAGCCATGAAAAACAATACATCAACAATAACAATAATTAATGTTTCAGCTCTGGAATTCTGTCCTACAAAGGCAGAACACCGTAACATCATGTTTGGTCAAAAATGAGTTCATGTCATTTTGTTTGTATTTGAGACTTTCTTTATCATATGAATAAATATCATGAAAAATATTGAGCTCAAAATTGACCTTTGACCCTTATTTTGCCAGTTCCTGTTCTCTGCCTTTGTATCATGAGCCAAAAATAAGGAGTCATGCAAAGACAAAAGACAGAAACTGTGTATATTCTGTTTGTGATTTAGTTCATAAATATTTTATTTTAAAATCCAACCTCTCGACTCCTTCTTTTTGTTGGGGCCTTGACACAGGGTCTTAGCACATTAAATAAATATACCTTTGTATTACTTCTTTTATCCTTAATGTGAAAGTATTTGGTGTATTTATTCAAACTGGACACACTATACTGCAAAGTCACTTGTGTGTCAAACTGTTTAACTGTGTAAGAGTCGCCGCACGATCCTGATCAGCACTAAACAGGAAATCCAAAGCTCTACTGTATCATTTCAAACAAACCCCATGATGACTCGATCTTGGTGAGATGTTCTTATAATGGATGAAAGTCTGGGCAAAATCAAGCAAATAATCATGTCTGTTACTGTCTTTTGTCTTTGCACGACTCCTTATTTTTGGCTCATGATACAAAGGCAGAGAACAGGAACTGACAAACAAGCAACAAAGGTCAATTTTGAGCTTAATATTTCCTTCAATATACTAAGTAGTTGTCAAATTTTGGGAGCCCTGCCTATTACACTTTTGTCTGGACAAAACAGAAACCTTGAAGTCATTTTTCTGTTTCACTCTCTGACGTGTTAAGATCTTTTGTCATTGTAGTGCAGAATTGCTAATCTATACAGAACAAAAGGTAAAAACTACAATTTAATGACATCACAAGGTGTAACAGAACATTTTACTCTTTGAAGATGTAGACAGACTAATAATGCAGGATTACTCAAACATGTATGAATGAAACAAAACACAACTCCAGGTCTGTTTTTGATGAGGAAACAACATTCTAACATGACTTAAAGCTCACAAGAGTCAGTTTAGTGCAATATAGGACCTTTAAACAATAACTATATAATAATCTCAATAATCTCCCCAGCTCTAGTTGCAGCAGGTCTTTCTTCTACAGTTAGTTCTCAGGAGGTTCTAAAGGACATCTGATGCATTACAATGAAATTTCAAAGCAGCGTGAGCCGTCTGTTTGAGAAATGGTTAATAAAGTGAGACAGTGAGGGAGGGGCCGAGTCCTCCGCAGGGGCTGTTCTCAGGCTTTTATCCCCCTCCCAGCGAGAGGCATCAAACTACAGACCTCAAATACAACACAGGAACCAGTATTCAAGGCACTGTACCTGATTGAAAAATATGAAAAAACAGAACTTGTTACATTTTAAACAGTTTGCAGTGGTCCAAAGTTATTTCTCACTTACTCAAAGCATTCTAATTATTCACCAAGAACAGTTTAGAAGCAAGTTATTTTGACCTCAAGAGCTGCCTATACAATATATCTGTCCTGGGGCAAAACAATATATACAACAACAATAACAATGTACTCAAATACATGGGAGAAATCACGTACAGGCCCTTTAAAACAGATTAGATCAGATACTGTGAAAAAGTTGGCAGAGGGACTACGGTGACCCAGAAAAAAGTTCAGCTTCACAGTTTGACCCTGAAACATTGGACGGATTTGAGTCCACAAGAGGAAGTCAGAATAGTAAAGGATTTGTAGAGGAATTTTCAATCTGAGGATGGCACTGAGAGAAGGAAAGTGGATTGAGAAAAATCTAATGTTAACCTTCTATTGGTGGTTTTCATAATCCAAATAGAGGATTGTATTTTGCTATGAAATATCCAAAAGATAAATATTTAATCAGATAATTTCTTCTTTCTGACCAGGCTTAGAAGTCACTGTATTACAACATGAATCTGCATTTTAAAAGTATAAAAATACTTCAATGATGATAGCTAAAGAACGAACATTTCCATAGAAACAAGCAGAAGGACATCCTCCTCCAGGTCAAAGAAGAGTCAGGTTTGTGGAGGTGCAAGCCTATGCAATAAACAAAATGATTTCGGACATAACTCACATTTCAGCAGTTCATCGGGCCAATAATGAGAAACTAAATGGCTTTATAACAGAACACAGTGTTAGCCTGTTGTAGCAGAGAGCAGCACATATGCTCCAGGTCAGTGAAGTGTTAAACACTGGTGTGTTTCTGCTCAAATGGACGCTCCTTTCAGCTCCTCCAGAGATCACTGTGAAAGTACTCGCTCTGAATGTACCACCTCTGAATGTACCACCTCTGAATGTACCACCTCTGAATGTACCACCTCTGAATGTACCACCTCTGAATGTACCACATCTAAATGTACCACATCTAAATGTACCACTTCTGAGTGCACCGGCTCTTGAGTCTGAGTGTACCTCCTCGGAATGTACCATTTCTGAATGTACCACCTCTGAGGATATGTTTACACTGAATCACCATATCACCATATCACCGTATTGGAAAAGATTTGAGTCCAAACATGTCGTTTCTGTGTCCGCAATCAAAACCTTCCCTATCTGCTTGAAATGCTAGTCACATGACTAGGCTGGCATCACGTTGTCACAACATCATGTGGACAGTAAAAACAAGGATGTGAAGCATCGTGTCTGAAGTTGCATGAGCCGATTTCGAGCCGAGGAAGATGGCAAGCATGAAAACTTTCCTCTTTTCGTGGACAGACGACGAGGTTCAGTTTGTCTTGTTAAAATGTTTTTGCAATAGCGTCACATGACCGATGTCATGAACCCAGCGAATCAGAAAGGAGCAAGTCACAGTGACGTGGTCCAACGTATTAAGGTTTTCAGGCGTCCACACAGTACTAGATCAGATCCGTACTCAGATGAATTCGTGGGAGCTGGTGGCACTAAATCTTTCCATCTCTGGAACTGTTTTCCATTGGATTAGTGTGGACGAACACTGCATCCACAATGAAAACGACTCGAATACGTACTAGTGTGGATGGTGCCTGAGTGTACCACCTCTGAGTGTACCACCTCTGAGTGTACCACCTCTGAGTGTACCACCTCTGACTGCACCACCTCTGACTGTACCACCTCTGACTGCACCACCTCTGACTGCACCACCTCTGACTGCACCACCTCTGAGTGTACCACCTCTGAGTGTACCACCTCTGACTGCACCACCTCTGACTGCACCACCTCTGACTGCACCACCTCTGACTGCACCACCTCTGACTGCACCACCTCTGAGTGTACCACCTCTGAGTGTACCACCTCTGAGTGTACCACCTCTGAGTGTACCACCTCTGAGTGTACCACCTCTGAGTGCACCACCTCTGAGTGCACCACCTCTGAGATCACTGGCCCTGAGTGCATCACTTCTAAGTGTACCACGTCTGAGTGTCCTCCCTCTGTCACTGTGGGTTTCTATCCAAACACATACTTTTGTACTGGCCCTGCAAACTCATTATATTCATCTTCTGGATACTTAAGTGAAAAATCTATCCATCATCCATCTATCCATCAATGTCTGCCTAAATCCCAGAAATATTAGTAGAACGCAGGACACCCTCATTTTGACAATGTAACAGCAAATTCCTCCATAGTTTTTGTTTTTTTTTAGCAGGGCCCCTCTCTCTAAAAAAGCTGCACCAGAAAAGGCGCCTTTAACTACCATCCAAAAATCTAAAGGCACAGTTTGTAACCTTTGTCTCCATGGAAATGTTAATGCTTTGCCTGGAATGTTCCACAGTAGGGCATTCACCATTTCTACCTTACATATATTCTATAACAGGTGTTTTACTGATTAAAAATAGCTCAACAAACATGCATTCTTCTTAGTGTGCGTGGTAGCCTCTCCACAGATCTGACCTATAACGTGGCTTTGTGGTGTCATCTGCTTGTCAGGCTGCACCTTTAATAAGGAACGTTGAACTCAGTGACATTTGTGTGAGCTGCAGGCCCACTGGAGTCTAACTTTACGGTGATGAGTCACTGTTGTCCATGACCTGATTTTTATAGACGCAGCTCTGAAATCCCAAACAAACTCATCGTGAATCATATCTGCCCTGAGGAAAGAAAAGAGGAGAGACGGCGGGAGGGAGAGAAGAGGGAGAAGAGGGGAGGGAGAGAAGAGGGAGCGAGGGAGAAGTGGGGATAGAGAGAAGAGAGTACAGCCGAGAGAGAGAATGAAGGGGTAACGTTGGAAAGAGGAGGAAGGAGGCAGAGATGAAAGAGAGAAAATGGAGGAGTGGGGGGGATAGGGAGAGATGAGAGAGACGGAGAGAGAGAGTGGAGAGATCACGGGATGAGAGAGAGGAAGAGAAGAAAAGGAGAGCGAGAGAAAGGGTGATACAACCATAGAGAGAGAGAGACGCAGAGTAGATGAAGAGAGAAGAAACAGGAGATAGAGAGAAGGAAAATATACAGACTAAGAAAGAAAGAGAAGAGAGAAAAGAGGTCGGCACAGAAGACGGAGAGCAAACAAGTGATAGAGAGGAGAAGAAAGAAAGAAGCAAGGATCAAAAAGAGAGAAGGGAGGAAGGGAGCGGAGATATTTAGGGAGATTTAAAAAATAAAAACAGGTTTAGAGAGGGGAGGAGAGGAGTGTGGATCAAATAGAAAGGAGGGGAGAGAGAAAGAGTGGCAGCAGATAGAGGGACGACTGAGAGAAAAAGAGAGCGGAGAGAAAGAGAGGAGGGGGAGCAGATGATGGACAGAAAAAGAAGCATAGAGAGGGAAACAGAGGAAAGAACGGAGATTAGAGAGAAAGAGAGGCGACAGAGAGAAAAGGAGAGAGAAAGAGAGGAGGAGGGAGGGGCAGATGATGGACAGAAACAGAAAAAGAGGTATAGAGAGGGGAGGAGAGGAGCGTGGATGAGATGTGTCCTGATGCGATGTGGCAGCTCTCAGTAGAAGTGGGACACATTTCCATATGATTTGCATGATCCGTCTGATTGGTTTAGTCTGAGAGCGTTTAAAAGAGAGTTATGGTGTTTTCACAAGAGCCAAGATGAAGATTAAATGTCCTATATTACGCAAAAATGACTCTTGTGAACTTTAAACCGTGCTATAACGCTGTTACCTCCTCAAAAACAGACCTGGAGTTGTGTTTTCATTCACATATGTTTGAGTAAGCCTTTATTATTCGTCAGTGTGCATCTCCAAAGCTCAAAATGCTCTGTTCCACCTTGTGATGTCATGAAGTGTCAAGTTAACAGCTACCTTTTATCTTTAGCTCAGTAGATATTGGCTATTCCAGGACTGAAATCAACCAAATGATTCTAGTGAAGGTGTATGAAGTTTAAAAACACTGTGGGGTATTTCCTGTATTACTCATAGACTGTATAAATGGACATAATGTTTGAAATAAGAAGTGAGCATGGGGGCGCTTCCAGTGTCCTGTCGATTTGAGCTACCGAGTGCTACTGCGCATGCACAGGACCCCTAAGCTCTGTTAGGGTTTAAATGCCATCGATTTGAGCTCCTGAGACAGAAGTGGAGTAACAAATAACATTTTAAAAGTGTAATGGTTTTATTGTATGTTTTGACCAGTTAAGCAACAATATGTACATGTTAGATTTGCGGCAGAAAACCTACGTTAGATGATTGAATAGATTGGATTTAATATTTCATTTTATTGTTATCATTTTCATTACATCGTATTTTATTTTGTTTTCATGTGTAGAAAACTTTGTAACTTTGTTTAGAAAGGCATTGTATAAATAAAATATCACTTTATTACAATAGGAAATTCACACTGTAGCCTATAATATTAGCATTAAATCTTAAATATTTAATGCTATTTAATATAAAGATTTCATTGTCTCCAGCCATGTCTTTCTCTGATGGGAGCCTTGTTTGACAGAAAATACAGACCTGTTGAAATGAGCTACCTCTACCCAAATTCATATAAATGAGTGAATAATGGTGATTCTACAGTGGGAGCATTATTCGATGGTTAAATTGTCCTGTCGATATGCTCCTTTTAGTCAAAGCTCTATTTGAACAGAATACATCTGTCCAAATGAACTACACATATTCATATAAATAAGTTGAAATTGTACATAACTAAGGTATAAAGTGTGATCACTGTGTGCAAACAGCATCAAACCTGCATCTCTAATCCAAAGAAATATGTCGTAAAAGCTGTGGAGTTTAGGGTTATGGTTCAGCTTTATTGGATCTATACAACTGTAAACAGAAAAACGTATGGTCGCTTATTTTGATGGAGTAGCTTGAATCGATAGACATCACGGTCGATTTAGGCTGCTGGGAGCTCATTTCGACGGGGCAACCCATTTCAAAAAATCACCAGCTCCATCGACTCTGACTCCAATTCACTTTGTATTGAAAAACGTCACCCCTCTCTCTGTCCTACTGTCTCCTCATTTTGGTCTTAAAATGTTTGTATTAACTCGCTCTACGTGATCCTGCTGCTTTTATTTTGCTATTTTGTCCATATATAAATTCCTACACCTAATATGGCACTCAGCTACAAATGTGCCCTATGCAAGCTACAAACAGCAAGAACCCATGAGCTTTATTTGACTAGAACCGAACGATACCAGTGACGTCACACTCTCTTAGTCCACTTCTTTAACAGTCTATATTGGCTTTATTGTCTGTTTTGACCAGTTAAGCACCGACGTGTGTGTTAGATTTGCTGCAAAATACCTACGATAGATGGATTTAATATTTCATTTTATTGTGTTCATTTTCATATTTTATTTTGTTTCCATGTGTAGAAAACTTTGTGACTTTGTTTAGAAAGGCGCTGTATAAATAAAATATCACTGTATTATAATAGGAAACATGACATCACAATGTGGAACAGACTATTTTCAGTTTGAGAGAAGGACTCAAGCCTAAATATGTAATGCCGCCTCAAAAATCTTCTCCTAAACAAGGTTATTACTTTCACTTTTAAGTTAAAATCAAGTCAGGTCAGGGTAAGATATGCAGCCTGAACACTAAAGCTCACCCTCCTGTAGTCACAAGGGCCCTTTATCACCGCTTGCGGTTTTAACCAAATTTTTTTCCTGCAACTGTGAAACTAATAAACCTTTGAGTTTACTGAATACTTCAAATGGTAAAACTTGATGCTTCTTTGGCTATATGGATTGACTTGTCTTTGTTTTTGTGTCTTTTACAGATTTTTGGGGCCGATGACGTATTATGCACACGGATCTACATCAGAGAATGACACTTTCCAACCACGGGACAAAACTTCTGACTCCACCTGTTTCATTTATCTGTCAGTCTGAGAAATACTAGCAATGTAGCCCACACACTTTGAACTGTCAATAGTCTCTTTGCATCTGCTCTCCATACCTCACAATAGCAGTGTTTGTGTGACTGTTGTGGGTGTTGTGTTTTCAGGACTTTAGCTGTCTCTGTCCATTCCATCAAACTCTGCAGTGTGTCATAGGATTTAGAGGCTTCAACTTTTCATGTCAGTAACAATAAAGGTTTGGGACACAGTGAATCCAGACTCCTGTTTTACTGTGTGTACAGAGTCGGAGTCAGAGCACATCTACTGGAGGGGCATGGGTCACCAGCAGGGGGGGGCACTGCCATTTGAGAAATATTTTAACGCGGTGGAGTCATACATAGCAGACATGCTATCAAACACGTTTTTCTTTAACAGTATTAGGCTAATTATGTGTTGTTATTATTATCATTATTATATTAAAATTATTATTATTATTAGCTGCAATAGTTGTTGAGGCTGTGTGGTAGACGATAGGCACACAAGACAATAATAAAAGGTTGAGGTTTAGTAAAAAACAATAAGTCCTGCCACTGGTTGTAAACATTAAACAACAGCCTCTCGTCAAAAACACCTCTGAACTAGAAATAGCCACGCATCGGACAGCACCAGGGCTGTAGTGAGCGTGGTTCGCGAGGGTAACGCCGTCCTGTCCTGTCCTATAGAGACCTGAGACTTGAGGGACCGGGACTAGACCGGGACTAAACCAGGACTAAACCAGGACTAAACCAGGACTAAACCAGGACCAGTGGCGGCTGATGGTATAATTTTTGGGAGGGGCACCAAGGCCAAAATGATTAATATGAATAATATATGTATTATATATATAGGCTTTAGTATTATAACAAATACCAGAAACAGACATTTTGGTTAGTATTGGCTGAACAGTATCGATCAGAGCACAATGAACAGCCAAGCGCAAACTTTATGCAACAACACAACGTAACACGCCGCTCACACCCAGACCCAACAACGTCAGCAAAACTACAATAAGAGACATGAACACAGCACACGACAGAACAACCAGAGCAGCTCCATCGCACCCACCAGCTCATTTACACACTATTAACTATTAACACTATAACACTATTTACCTGTGAGGCTCCAAGTTTAGATTTGCCGCAAATTAATGAAAACCAGCCTCTTACCTTCTCCAGAGACTGAAGCAGAATGTTTCCTCTATCCGCTGTCCCATTGGTTCTGTTTCCAAAAGTTTATTGTCCAATATGAAGAGATGAAACTGGTCCAAATCCTGGTCCAGTCAGGTCCGTGACGCGAGGTCCGGGAGCCGAGTGCACAAGATGGTTGTAAAATTAGTCTTAATCCCACTTCCCACTTAAATCTGAAAGTTACAGTCAGTCCATATCAGCACCAGGTAGAATTATGCCTCTGCGCGCTATGCTCAGGTCAAACTTTTACACCCAGAAACGAGCGGGCAAAGGCGGATAGAGCAGCGAGCGACTGCCCTGGCCCCGGCGGCGGCAGCGAGAGCCCCGGCCCGGTGGCGACTGCCCCAGTCCCGGCAAAGAATGTCCCGGTGTAAAGGATTCAAACTACCGGGGGGCTGGTTTCAAATTACCCCCCGGTAATTTGAAAACGGTTTCAAGATACCCCCCTTAACCCTAACCCCAACCCCTAACCCTAACCCCCGGTAATTTGAAACTGGTTTCAAATTACCGGGGGGTAATTTTTGAAGGGGGTAGTTTGAAAACTCTACACCGGGGCCAGCAGCGGTAGCGACAGTCCCGGGTCCCGGCGGCGGGTCTGTCAGTGTGTCTTTGACTCTGTTCTCGCCATTTCCTGTGTGAAGCTTTAGGTTAAAGTAGCAGCTGCCGCTAATCGTGAAGCAGCTACGAGTTGACGCAGCAGGTTGACGTGACGTGAGTGACAGGACAGTTGTCCAATCACACTACACTAAATAAACAGACTGTGATGTCATTGATGTCACAGTAAAGTTTGTGCCCTCAGCCAGAAGTAAAATGCGCCAATCAAAATCATTTTAAAATAGTAATAATAACGGCCTGTGCTGGGGGGTGGGGCACCAGTGGCCGCTAGGGGGGGCACGGCCCTCAAATGCCCCCCCTTGCCGCCGACACCGTGTGTGTATTTAGTATTGATTGTATAGTGGTAGGAAGTATAGTATGTAGTGTATTTAGAGTCCCATTTAGAGGCCTAATAGAATAGTAAATGAAATACTTTTTGCTTTTAAAATACCCTGACAAGACATTGGTTCGAATCATCACTGCCATAACCCCAAGAATTAAAGTTAAAAACACATTTCTTCATGTGGTCTGCACTGAAATGAATCATGGCATATATAGTTCCTTTGTTTATTAGCTGTTGCTACTTTAAAACAATGCATTTAAGTGAAGGAACCTGTCATTCAATATACTGTGACAGCCCTTGATGATACAATATCATGATATTTTAGTTATTGTTACATCCCTATAAAGAAATAGAATATAAAGAAGTGTGACATCACCCATAGCATTTTGCTCCAGTCAAATGAAGCTCACAGAAACTAGTTCTGTATATATAAATACAGAGAGATATGCTGGATTTGCCAGGAAAGTTATAAGTGGTACTATGGTAACAGTCATATTTATCCTGACCTGTCCAGCCAGTAGCCTGATTCATTTCCATGAAGTGAACTGTCTGACCTCACAGCATTAGGATTCGTTCGCTCGACAGTGGGCGGATACTTTTTTTAATTTAACCAATCGCTGCTATTTGGTCGTGATGTATGTAATGCACCGCTAACGGAGCTAACTGGTATATTAGGCTTTTCCCAAATCCCGTAGAAAGAAGGACAATAACGTCTTTCCCCTTGATAAAATTCACCAAACATTCTCTTTGTTCCGGCTTTAAACCCCCAATCTCGGGAATCGTTGTCAACACAGAATGTATGGTTCTTTACTGATTGCTGGTTCCCGAACTCGCACTTCCGGGTTTTTTGCAAAGGGTCTAGTGTATTCTGATTCCTGACCTAGCTGCTGGAGAGAAATGAAATTGAGTGGAGGCACTAGATGGCACCAGCCTGGCTGTCCAGCCAGAACTACACTCTGATAAAACAGAGTGGATATGGAGCCATATTTTGTCTCCCAGATTTCAGAGGAATTGATTAACAGGTGGATTAACCCATTATGGAGATGAAACACAAACAAACAAACAAAATCCCACAAAGAACTAAGAAACAGCACAGACTTCTGCCGAACCATAATCAAAGCACCTCTTACTTATCTCAGGAAAAAAAAAAAAGTTATACAGGCAAATCCCCAAAAATCATTTCACACATTTTATTTTAAAAACAATTATCTTGAAAACTACTAAGTCTAGCTCCATGAAATTGAACAGTTTCCAAATTTTGCATTGAAGGCACGTTGCAGTCTTGGGTGACTGTGTGAGCAGATTCCAAAGCACAAAATGACTTCTGTTTGGGAGTGAATGCTCAACCTGAAAACAGAACAAAAGTAAGGGCCTGTTTATAAAGAACGCTTGCGGGTAAAAAGAACAAAATATTTTATCGGAAGTGCCTTTCGTTTAGACGGTGATGGCGTTTTTAGGACTTAAAACCTCAAAAATCTGAAACCACCCTCCAGAGTAGAAAAGTTGAATACACTCCGCTGTAGTGTTTCCGTCTATACTGCCAAAGATGCAAAACTCTGGTCAGATCTGTTCATGTTGCGTACACGTTTCCGTCACATACATGCAGTACACAGAAACAAACATGTTGGATCATTTCTATATGTCGTCATTTCCACACTGTTTTGCGTCACCTTATGCACGCAGATTTCCTCCCGAAAACACTTGTCTAAATGCGGAATAAAAAGTGAAGATGCAACACCAATTTTACGTCTTCTGTTCAGACCATCATCATATAAACGTAGCCTAAAGCATTACATATAAAGTCTTGATCTGTTTCTATACATTCTGTCAACATTTGAGGTTATTTAAACAAGAATTGCGTCAATTATTGGCCTACGAAATTGTCAAATTTTTTGGGACACCCTGTAAAATTTGTTCTCATTTCTACATTTGAGAATTGCGTGCAGCTGTGTGTGTGGATTGTCTCAAGTTAAAACAGAGATTTGTCACACTATGGTCCAATTCCAGTAGCCAGACTGGCGCCACCTAAAGCCTCCGCTCAATTTAATTTCTCTCCAGCAACTAGGTCAGGAATCAGAATACACTAGATGGTTTACAAGTACCCTGGAAGTTGTAGACCACGCACTGGCCAAGAGCTGTGAAGCCATGACGTCAAACTCAAGCACCTGTCTGCGTCCCTTTTGTGGTAGAGCACAACAGTAAACAAAGCGGTCGAGATGGATGTAGATGAAGCCAGACATTTTGTGTTGGCAACAATTCCTAATCGAGGATTTAAAGCCAGAACAAAGAGAATGTTTTGATTTTGATGATGAATTTTATCAAGAGGAAAGACGTTATTGCCCTTCTTCCTATGAGATTTGGCGCATTACATACTTTATGACCAAATATCAGCGAATGGTTAAATAAAAAAGTCAGCGAACGAATCTTAATACTGTGAGGTCAGACAGTTTCCATGAAGTGAAACCAGCTGATGAATCAGGCTATGGCTCAGTCTGAAAGCAGAACAAAATTTAAACATTAAATATAAAATCTTGATCTGCTTCTATAAATTCTGTGAAAATTTTAGCTTATTTCAACAAGAATTGCCAAAATTATCAGCCTGGGAAATTGTCAAATCTTTTGAGACACCCTGTATATTTTGTTCTCAATGAGTTGCCTTCTGCACTGGAGAATCACATGCTACAAATGAGCAGCTGTGCTTGGATCGTCTCAAGTTAGAATGGAGATTTGACACTTCTCAATTCAAACAGGATGTAGAAGAGACTGGCTCCTCAGACAACTTTTATCCACCATTTTCTACCTTCAAAGCACTCAAAACGCTTTACATCAGGAGGGTCCAAACTATGGCCACTCTGATAGTGAATGCTACGAGACATATTAAAAGTACAGTAGCTCTATTAAATGCATCCATCTGAACGCTTCACTGTATAGAGACCAATCTGTGACCCTCTGCTTTGGATATGTTTCAGTATGAGGCCTGCAAAACACTCCCAATCACACACACACATTCATAGTAAAAAAAGCACACAACAACTTCCTAAACAATAGCTCTAAAAATACTCGTTCTTTGTATAAGCTTTAAGAGAGCCTATATGTAGTATTAAAATATA